CTGGCTCTTACAGACCTGTACCTTCTTCTTTAAGAGGCTCCTCTGTCCTGCACTCATTACCTGTATCAATGGCACCTGTTTGAACTTGTTATCAGTATAAAAGACACCTGTCCACAACCTCAAACAGTCACACTCCAAACTCCACTATGGTGAAGACCAAAGAGCTGTCGAAGGACACCAAAAAAAAAATTGTAGACCTGCACCAGGCTGGGAAGACTGAATCTGCAATAGGCAAGCAGCTTGGTGTGAACAAATCAACTGTGGGAGCAATAATTAGAAAATGGAAGACATACAAGACCACTGAAAATCTCCCTCGATCTGGGGCTCCACGCAAGATCTCACCCCGTGGGGTCAAAATGATCACAAGAACGGTGAGCAAAAATCCCAGGACCACACGGGGGGACCTAGTGAATGACCTGCAGAGAGCTGGGACCAACATAACAAAGGCTTCCATCAGTAACATACTACGCCGCCAGGGACTCAGATCCTGCAGTGCCAGACGTGTCCCTGCAGGGCAACACCCTTATGTCAACAGGACCAATGCATGATTGCCAGTGATTGTTCCTATTGCTACTTCTTTACCCTAAGATAACCTGTTTCCATATCCCCTCTCACAGATATTCAGCCAAGCCAGACATCCATGTTTATTGACCTGCCAGCAGACTGAAGTGCCAGATGGTGGCTATGCATTCTCATTTCACTTCTCTATGATAAGCATAGAAAGATAAGCCTAACTATCACAGATTACTAAACTCTTACCCATGATCACATCACAGTAGGGCATTCAGAGATCAAGCCTCCAAGGTATAGCACACTTCAATGATCAATTATTGCTCTCACACACACCTATGCCCCAAAGCTAAGGCTAGATCATTCATCTCCTTGCTGAGCTTTCAAATTGTTTCTCAGCACCTTTGCTTCTTTGAGATGTTTGTCCAGTCAGGTCTGGCTTAAGGTATTTACCTAGAGAGGCTTCAAAGTCAGTGAAACAGCCATTATGAAACCTTGATTTTTACGCATGAAATGTTCTGTTTCATAAGCAATAGAAACGTGCATCTATTTCTATGAAACATATAGCACTCAGTGATAAGCTGCACAATGCATTCAGCACTGGCATATGTCTGCTGAAAGATGGACTTCGCCCCCGATCTTACATTTTTTTTTTCATTTTGTTTTTACCTTTTAACCTAAATTAACACACTCATCCGCCCACTGCATCCAGTATTGCCGTCAGCTCTTCTGCCACATGCTGGAGCCTTGTGGGTCATGTTTAACCCATTGATTCTTCTTGTGTGGCCCAAAGGCTTTTCATAATTTTTGAATGAATCTGTCAGGATGGAAACACTGAAACTTCCATTGTGGACATGTGTTACAAGACTTAAATATACAATTTTATAGCTTGTTTTAGGTATTTATATAGCACCAACAAATTACATAGCATGTTTACGTACTGTACATTATTATTATTATTATTAATATACAGGATTTATATAGCGCCATCACATTAGTCCCTGCCCTCAAAGAGATAACAATCTAAGGGCCTTACCTTGCACACACTAGGGCCAATTTAGACAGACCCATATTAAAATATCTTTGGAGTTTGAGGGGAAACCCACAAAAGCACAGGAAGAACACACATACTCAATGTAGGTAGCGTCCCAATTGAGATTTGAACTGAAGACCCTATTGATATAGGGCAGGAAAGCTACCCACCAAACTACTGTGCTGCTGTACAACAGAATACCATATAATATTACATTCTTCCATCCACGTCATCAGTGTGGCTGTGAGAATTGATTGATTTTCTTTCATTCAGCCTGCGAGCTGAATGAGAGAAAATTGAGCTGTGTATGGCGGCCCTTATGTGAATCTTTCATCATTTCTTTCTGAATCACTCACCTCTGACAAGAATGTGGCCAGAGAAGTGTCAGAATACCAGATCATACTCATTTCCTGTAAATTACTTATCTTCTGTTTTTTGGCCATGACTGTATACCTGCCAGTAAAAGATGAGGGCCAGAGATGCCACTGGTTGCTAAAGACCTTAACCATGGACAGCAGAAGAAGCAAGCAAGGCTGGGTCTGAACCTGCGTTCAGACTGAACCAAGAGCTCATCCCTATTCCCTACACTAAAGCATCTGCTAACCCTGAATCATATGTTACCTGAGCCCTTAACACTTAAATCTAAACTCCAAGAAAACATCTAAATACGTAAATAAAATAGATATAGGGGACCTGTCTATCCTGCCAAAGGGTATGTATTTCTGTAAATCCAGTTCTGAGATTTACACAGTCTTGGAAACACATCTCTTTTTGGCAGGGTAGGAGACCTGATTTTTCTTTGCTGCAGTCAAGTAACATATACAGGTCTTGTTCCTTCCCCAACCTGTGACTGGACATTGAAAGGAGAAGCAGCAGGTTGATGAGCTCATCTCCACATTACTCACTTCTGCTATCAGCAGGCACCTTTGAACTGAAGCACAAATAATTAGCATGGTAGGTTGTCGTTTGGTGGTTTGCTTGTGCATGTGGCACACATGCTGTTTGTATATGACTGCAAGTATAAAATGGACTGAATTTTGCCTGAAAGGTCATATATTTGCAGACATATTGGAATCTAGCACTGGCGATTAGTGATTGCTTATACTGGACAATGCACTCCTGGGGAAGTGAGTGTCGTCTGTTTGCTGGGGATGGCCCTGTTGTTAGGGGAAGATGAACTGCACTAAGGGCAAATCTGCAGATTATAGATACATTATACTGCCAAAATTATTGGGACGCCTGCCTTTACATGAACTTTAATGGCATCACAGTATAAGGGCCAGTTCACACTATAGAAAAGCATTCCAGATGCATTCTGGATGAATTTCTGCATGCACATTTTTGATGCATTTTTGGCACAATCTGGTGCGTTTTTTTTTTGCATTTTCGTGCATTCCAAACAAACAGCGCAGACAGTGAAGGATACTACTAGGCCTCGTTCACACCAGTGGCCAGTGAGTGGTAAAACAAGGCAGATGAGATGCAGTTTTACTGCCCCCTTGATCACCCGCCTGAACAATGAGCTCCAGCCATTCCTGGCTGTACATATTCCACAGCCACAATGCAGTGCTTCACGTCTGCAGCAAAGCTAAACAGTATGTCACACTTGGTGGCTTTACTGCTGCTTAACTCGGCCAGTGCAAGTCCATTCTGTAACCACCCTGCAACTGTGTACAAATGCATGTGATTATAGTTCAGCAATTACTGGGCTAAATCAGGCGGTGTGGATGTGATATATTTTCTTCTCACTGTTTGTCAAATGCCCTCTGAAAACTGATCTGAACATGGAACTGGTGTTAACTTCGTTGACAAAAATATTTACATCATAATTTTCTTCAGAGGCATGTTTTCAGTATGAAAACTAGACGAAAATCAGTTCAAACATTTTGTCAATTGTCAAAATCTGTGATGATAATCGATGCCAATTTTCATCAATAAACAAGGGAGGGACCTTTTTTTATAGTAAGGGGAAGGGAGAGAGAAGCACCAGGCCGTCAATAGCACAGCAAGGTTTTATTCATATAAAATATATAAAAACAATGGTGATGCACTCACAAGCTTCAATGAAACAGGCATAAAATTAGCTTCATGGGAAGCCATCAGTAGTAGTAATAGTCTGGACTGGAGCCGATGGGATCATGGAGAGGCAGTGATAAGATCCAGAGAAGCTGTCAGAGAGCTGTCAGAGAGCCGTGGAAGAACTGTCAGATGCAGCTGTGAAAAGCCTGGGTGCTAGTAGCCAATCAGGAACTGTTTCAGAGGCAAAACCATGCCTCCTTCATCCTCTTCCTTCAAAAATGAAATATGACTAAAACTAAAATGGCATTTTAGTCAATAGACTATGACTAGCATTGCATTGAAATTTGATGGAAAAATTAACACTCAGCCTGGGTGCACATATATGCAGTCTGGTATATCGCATGTGATTCGCACAGGAACCGAACCACATTTCTGTGCAAATCACATGCGATTTGTGAGCATTTTGTATGGCGGTGCACTACGCTAAAAAATGTGCAGGACACTTTTTTGGGTCCACACTAGAATTGGATCGCATAGGTATTCACACTTAAGGGATCCGATTCTGCACATCGCACCTCGTTTTCAGTGTGACCGCTTTCAGTGTGTTGTTAACTTAACATACACACCCGCAGCGTTTCGCATGAACGGGGTGCGATTCTGATTCGGTGCGGAATTCGCATCGTTTTCAGTGTGAACCAGGGCTCAAGGAACGCTTTCTAGAGGGTACCACAAGTGTGAACAGGTCCTTACGGTGATGGTGTTCAGCACTGAAACAGCTCTAGTATATAAAGCAGTCAGCACTGTGGTATATTTGTGTGTGGTTGTCTGGGGCACTGTTCCTTAGTTTTGTTTTTTTTTGTTTTTAATCCTTGGTGGTGGTTTAATTTAATTTGTTTTCTTTTTTTTGTTATTGTTTGTGATGTTATAATATATTATTATGTTCTTTGTTTTTTAAATGTATTTTTTGATAAGCTGGTGGAAGCCATGGTCACATTGACTTTCTATGAGGTTGGGCATTCTTGCTGTGTTTTTTCTGAAAGTGCACCAAAGATGCAGCATGCAGCAATTTTAGCGTGCTTTTAGAAAACACAGCAAAATATTACATGGCTGTAGTTGAATCCACAAATTTATTTACTATATATTCTATTTATCATGTATATACTGTTGTACTTTACTAATGACCCTATTGGCTCCCCATTGTACTGTGAAATGCATGTACTAATAGTCAGTACCCACTAGGGGATGCTCTAGCCTAGAAGGTTCTCCTTCATTATCTTCCATTAGAATGAAATTTCTTTGAATGGCTGCTTAGCTGTGTACACCATATTAGTACTGTACAGACAATCCCTACTAGCTCTTCTCTGCTTATATCATTGCACCCTGTTATCCTTCATATGCATGATAATTAACAATCCATTGCCTGCCATCCAGCCCAGCAATGACTGTTCTGCTGCTGGCTTTCTTTGTCATTGTGTGCACAGCATCCGCCCCTGCCTCCCTGTCTCCTGAGGACCACAGCAGATTAGATGGGGGCAGGAATGTCTTGGAAAAATTCAACATCTCCAGCCAAGTAAGTAGCATTTCAAAAGCCATAATGTATTTACTGACCTAATGGGTGGCTCTGGATAGGTGACATTCATTTTCTTTATTAAGATAGCTTGACTTTTTTAATTCTCTGTAATGATTACTTCAAAACATTGATATGTGAAACTAATATTTATTTAAAAAAAATGCTGAGTAGTAATCTGTTCTTAAAATGGTAGTAAAGTCTTGATATACATGTGTATCTACCGGTAAGTTTATAATGTAGCTTACCCAGTGGCGTCCCGAGGCAGGTGCAGGGGGTGCACGCCGCACCGGGTGACACCTACCGCACTGGGTGACACCTACGGCATGGGGTGACACCGGGCCCACTCCACGAAAAGGTAAGTTGTAAAGCAAGCCGACGATCCCCGCAGGATGGATCAGATCCATCCTGTGGGGATCATCAGCTTTCTTTATAACTTACCTTTTCGTGAAGCGAGTCCGGTGTCACCCCATATAGCTTGCATGCCGACGATCCCCACAGGATGGAACGGATCTGCGGATTGGGGAACATAATGGATCGGACTCCGATCTATTAAGCTCAATCCGCAGATTCGAACCATCCTGTGGGGATCGTCGGCATGCAACCTATACGGGGTGACACTGGACCCGCTTCATGAAAAGGTAAGTTGTAAAGAAAGCAAACGATCCCCGCAGGATGGGTCAGATCTGCGGACTGGGGAGAATAATGAATCGGAGTCCGATCCATTATGCTCAATCAGCAGATCCGATCCATTCTGCAGGCATCGACGGAGGGGGTGTCACCAAGTGTTACCGCACTGGGTGACACCAACCCTAGGGACGCCCCTGCCTGGTACTGTGATTATCTTCTAAGCTTACGCCAGTTAGATGATACTAACTGTGGTTGCACCGGTGACGTCCCCAGCGCATCCATAATAGCTCCGCGTTCAGGGCACATTGAGTGTGTCATCTATGCAGAGAGCGATGCAGCGTCATCTTAATTTCCATGCACATGCATTGTAGTGACGTCATCACGGCTGAGCCATTCAAACAGTTAGACAGTGCGAACCCGGAAGAAAGAGTGGGTGAAAATGGAAGCACCAGCAGTGGTGACAGCGTACCGCTGCGTGGCTCTTAAAAGGTTTATCATAATGTGCTAGTATGTGGTGTATACTAGGACATTATGTGTTGGGGGGGGGGGGGGGGGGGTCATTTAACAAAAAAGAAAAAAAAATCGGTAGAGTTTACTGCTTCTGCCTAGATTGTAAGCTCTAACAAGCAGGGCCCTCTGTTTCCTCTTGTACCAAATTGTATTGTATTTATGTTACACATTAGTCTACCTTCATTTTGTAAAGCGCTGCGCAAACTGTTGGCGTTATATAAATCCTGTATATTAACAATATAATAATACTTGAAAGTGTATGCTACCCCTACTCTAGCTGCATAAACAACATATTCAGACAGCAGTACTTGCTACTTATACAACACTGTAAGGCTAGGTTCACACTAGCCCACGTGTGTGTTCTGGTTGTGGGTGCGGGAATCACATTGGTTCCTGTACCCGCAGCCAAATTGCGTTGCTCTTACAAGACCCGCTGGGCTACCATTCATTCTGAATGACATCCCCACTAATTTCAGCCCGCAGCATGATTGCGGGTGCGGGAACCACAGAGAAACTGCATGGTCAAAAAGACCATGAGGTTTCCCTGCAGCTGCATTTTTAAAAAGGTGCATGCACTTTTTTCGTGTGGGACATGCAGCACAGCAGCCAATTTAAATGAATGGGCTGCCGTCCCCAAGCAAACACAGGCTGCACGGCTTGCACTAGTGTGAACCAGGTGTAAAAGCCGCGTTGCGCTTGCGATTATGCCATCAGAGACACTTTGACAGGCATAGAATTTCAGATTTCTTTATCGCTGGTTACATGTGCTCTGTCACTATCCAAAATGTTGCTAAAGCTCAATTAGTAGCAACTACGGAGTGAAGTTTCACTGGTTCAGGCAGTAAAGGAACAACTCCATAAGGAAAGTTTCATTTCAGAATATTTTAGTAAAGTACACATTAAAAATACATTTGATTGTATAGTATACCAAGGGATACCAATAAACTATGCAAATGTAATATGTTACCTCTACTTTTTCTTTCCGTGTGCCTTAAAAGCTGCCAGTAAAGGCCTGGGTCAGTTGTAATTCTTGCCATTTTTACATTTAATTTGCATCTTTACACTTTGGGACCAGCGGTGTAACTTGCCATGCGATTTGCCATGCCATGTGAGTTGTAAATCGCATGGCAAGTTGCACCCTATTGTCCACAATTAAAGTTGTCATATCAATGAGATTATGACTTGGTTGGAGTCACATCGATTTCTAAAGTAGTGCATGCATTTCTTCAGGTGCGACTTGCATAGACATCTGTTTCTTGCAATCCACAGATGTCTTGCAAGTCGCACCTCAAGTTGGAATGACATCCGACTTTGAAATCGCGCAACTTCACTGGAAGTCGCACAATTTCAAAGTCGGATTGGTGTGACTGGGGTGTTACTGTATCTGCACAAAAGGATTTATAATTATATAGAAAGAAAAGTGAGCGCCTAACGTGAGTAAGAGCGAGCGACTATGCACATGAATGGGTAACTAACAACACCATAAATAGGAACATATAAAATCAAATCGTGCAGCGCTAAGAAGAGGGTTATAAATATAATGTCCAAAATGGCAATGTGTCAACTCACATATATCCCAATAAAGAGGGTGGGATGAGTAAGTATACACAAATAAATATATAAATGATCAAATAAATATAAAATTCCAATCGGGTGACTGTAGTGAATCCTGATCAGTCAAAAGGTGCAAACAGTGGTGTAGGTAATACACACTCACCGGATGCGCATATTAATTGCACCTTATATAAGTAAATCAGTGACCGTGGCAGAGAGGAGGCCCGGGGCTGCCAGAGCATAAGCAGGGGAGTGCTTTAAACCTGCAGACCCACCATCCCAGTACGGGCTACCACTCCTTAAGGATATCTGAGGTGATGCACGACCACTCCTAGAAGGAATAAGGATATCCTTATACTTGGCTTACAGTGTTCACATTTGATGACCCATCCCCTGGAGGGAAGATCTTTTTAGCTTCAGGCCTCATCAGATGACACCAGGATTTACTTATATAATTTTATATTTATTTGATCATTTATATATTTATGTATACTTGCTCATCGCACCCCCTTTATTGGGACATATGTCAGTTGACACATTGCCATTTCGGACATTATATTTATAACCCTCTTCTTAGCATTGCACGATTTGATTTTATAAGGATTTATAATAGGAAGGCATCCTTGTACCGGTTTGATTCAATTTGGTCCCTGCTAGGAGCCATAAACTATTTTTTCTATGCTGCACTGCACTCAAAAAATCAGAGAAGATCACAATCTGCTAGACGCAGGCAGCCCCTGCAGTTTAGTTCAAGACCCATTCAGCAATATGTGAGAGAACCAAAGAAATGGTACATATGCACTAATAGATTTATCGCTATGAAACTGACAGATCAGCTCTAAATAGATGCATAAAATTATCCCCTTTATGTTTCTAAAAAGGGCTCAGCATAGTATACAGCTGTCATAGCTGGGCAGCACAGTGACTAAATGGTTAGCACTTCCGCCTGGCAGTACTAGGGTCGCTGGTTCAAATTTCAACCATGCCACCACCTACCTGGAGATTGCATGTTCTCCCTGTGCCTGTGTGGGTTTCCTCTGGGTACTCCAGTTTCCTCCCACACTCCAAAGACATGCTGGTAGGTTAATTGGATCCTGTCTAAATTGGCCCTAGAATGTGTATGTATGAATGTTAGTTAGGGACCTTAGATTGTATGCCCCTTGAGGGTTAGGGACTGATGTGAATGTACAATATATATGAAAAGTGCTGCGTAAATTGATAGCGCTAAATAAGTGCCTGAAATAAATAAATAAAGTAATAATAGCTTCTATTTGAGCTCACTATAATCATTAATAACAGTTATAAGACCTTTAAATACACTGTTTTTGTACTAAATAAAAATATGTATTTATTATTGTAATACATATAATTGGTTCTAACAAAAAAAGTGATAAAACATAAAATAAAAATTTCCAATCTGAGAGAAAATATTTAGAATTATTATTATGTAGCACTATCCCCTTGGATGTTGCTGTTGAATTCTGGGTCCCCCTAAAGTCCCGCACAGCCAGTCAATCAGCATTTTTCACACACATGTTCATCCATGGACAGAAATCAGGCCTTGAGCGTTTTGTTTTTTTTATTGAGGGGATTAAACTTGGGTGGGGTAAGGGGTATAGGATGCCCAAGGGAACCAAAATCTTGAGGACAAACTTCCTGAACTATTCACAGCTTCTCCTTTAAGACACACAATCTCTGTTGGAGAGCTAGCCAGCAACTCCAGGTGTAGTACCCCAGACCCCAGATGAACTACTCTTCACCCAGCAATCTGGTAACGTTCCTTTCCTGAGCAAGGGATCTGGCTCTTGTTCCTTCAGCTATGGTGCACAGTCATTAGAAGGGGGCTAATCTGGTTTCCCACCAGAATGCTCCTTCCCCTATCTGCCCAGGGGGTGTAGGTGTGCTCACTCAAATCCTCTCCTGCACAGCTTGTGGAATGGCTGCTGCTACCAGGCCTATCAGCTGGGCAGCTCCTTCCTTCCCACGTGGGCGATCCTCTCTCAGGGGACCAGTAAGTCCTGAGCTTTCCTCTTCTCTGTCTCCAGGCTTGCAGCCTGGCTCCATCCCAGCAGGCCTCCTGTCAGCCTTCTTCCTCCAGCCTCATATCTTCTTGACTCACACTCCTCTGCCACTCTACCACCCCAACTCCTGTCCTCCATGTCATGGTCGCCCAATCGCCACCCTCAACATGCGACAATCGCACGACCACGACCAACAATAATACGTCACGCCCGCGGTATCAGACCCCAGACCTTCTCACCAAACTCGTGACCGAAGGACCAGCCGATCTAAAACCGCTGTGTGACGCG